CCCCCCCCCCCCCCCCCACCCAACCTAATGCCCCACCCCAACCTAATGTCCCACCCAACCTAATGCTTGCAATCATATGTGTGTATGTGTCTGTGCCGCGAATGAGAGAGATTTGGTGTCGTACATGAGAGGAATACAGGGGGGTGGTGGTGTCGCAAATGAGTCAGATTTGGTGTCGCAAATGAGTCCCTTGCCCACGTTTACACAGGTTGGAATGCGTTACAGCGCCTCTGGCCCACAGAGGGCATGTGTGGTACTTCCAGATACTCACACATTTGATATATTTGAATATCAATGTCCTGTTGTGACGGAGCTTGGAGCAAGGCATTCACCCTGGGCGGATGAGGGCGTGGGCAAGTACGCCTGTTTGGTCAAGGCAGATGGGGAGAAGCATCGTTGCTGCTCACGACCATGTTTTGAGAAATTATGTTTTGCAGACTTCTGCCTCACTGTTTTTCAGGTTCAGCGCCACTCAGAATTCAAGTCGAGACTGGGTTGGAAGACTGAGTTGAGGTTTCGGGGAGCACTCTTGTTAAGAGCTACTGTTTTTGGAATGCCAGGCAGTTGGTGGTGTGATGCTGTCACTTGGCATTTGTATTCGGTTTTACGATGTTTTACGGATCGAACATACCTAGCCAACGTGCTGCAAAAGCTATGATGTGCATGTAATGTAGCATGTGGTGTGTGTGTGTGTGAAACCCTTCGAATCAAAAGAACCTTTTGGCTTACTCATAAGCAGGGGAGCGGTGGGCATTCTTGAAGTCACCACTCAACGAAGACACTGCAAGTTTGCTTTGATATTTGATACGCAATCTGGACGCAGATTGCACGTATCTGCGAGCGGATGATCACCTATTACTTTCTCCTTGGTCCCGCGCAAGCCTAGAACAAGACTTCTCTCCTCGCGTCTTTTTGCACGCAACCAACCTACTAGCGATGGCCTCCAACCCGTTGCGAGGGCCTGCCACCTAGATGTGACGGCCACCAACCTAGACGCGATGGCCTCCAACCTGCTCTTGTTTTACCTGGTCTCTTAGGTTTTTACTTGGGCTGGCAAGTGGCAAACCTCAAATCAGTACCGTAAGCATTTTCCCGATTGTGTGTGTGTGCGTGCACGTATACTCCTGCGAGATGCGTGCAATTTTGCCTTACTCCCCACCTTGAACACCTTCTTTTGCCAGCTTTCAGCTTAAGCAAAAGGTGTCCAGTAGGATTTACAACATAAGCGCCACCCTGAGGCTATTGATGTTTCGTCATTCCATGGTTTGCCTGGCATACTACGATGAGGATGGTGACCGCTTGCAGCGCCGCAAGGACAGACCAAGCAGACCAGGGAGGCAGAGTCACGGCACAAAAGAGCAACATGGCCTGGATCCAACAAAAGCCATGGCCTGGATTGCAAAAAATGTTGTGAGTCTTACGACTCATTGGATGGCCATCCCTGAGTCTTTCAGCCAAGCAGTGTCATGATGGCCACGTTGTCATACCTTTATAATTACACCTTTGCTCAACTGTACCTTGCAGCATGTTGCAGGGATTATCAGGAGGAGGCTGCACAGTTGCCATGCCATGACTTGACTGCTCCGGCCTTCTGCTTTGAAGAGACTAGTGTGGTGAAGTTGTAGTTGGGTCTTCGTTCTTCGATGGGACTGTGGGCTATAAGTTATAAGACTTGACAGGGGCTTGAACAATTCGAGACTAGAATCTTGGAGTCTTAAGTCTTAGAACTTGGTTGACAAAGACGACATGGTTGAGTTGCGCAAGGAGCGATACCTCGATGAGATGACCAAGCAGGTTGGAGAGGTCCTGCTCCGTGCCACTACTCAGGACGGAGAAACAACGAATTGATAAGTGCGAGACAAGATCACCCTCACCGGTCTCAGTGGGATTACTCTCTGCCCAAGACAACTCAGTGTATTTTGCCATGGGCCACAAATGTAAATGTTCAGGGCTGGGTCTCCTGTCCCGTCAACGTCAACAGGCCCAGACACTGTGTGGCATGCTCTCAGCTCAGCTGGATGAGAAGGCCTGAATACTCGTCTCATTCCTTTAAGGACAGAGGCTAGAGGGGTAAACTCTGGGAGGAGGAGCAGGGAGGTAGTAGGGAAACAGTAAAACCACTTCGCTGTAAGAGACAGTTCCTAGAGTTTCGAGAAGATCAGACACGCACAAACACACATAATATAGAATAATATATATATAATATTTGTATATAATAGATATATATATATATATCATTACTAGTGCAATGTTCAGAATCTGGTGGCCGGTGGCAGAAGCGAGTTGGCCATGAAGTCAAGATCTCACAAGCTGTACACCAGGTGGGTGAGCATGTCCGCCGCATGCAGCGCATATTAGAAGAAGTGGAGAAGCAGGCCGAAAAGTCTGACAGCAAAGATGCCACTTGGCAATGCCCAAAAAGGTCAGTGCTGTTGGCAATGCCATTGGCATTGCATTCCTTTTCACCGCTGGTTCAATAGCTCTGGGGGTTCACTCCACTCCCTTTGCATTTGGCAACCTAACTACTATGTGAAGCTTTCGGACATAGTTTGCTAGCTGCTACAGTCTTCTGTTTGGCCCCGCAAACCCTTCTTCACGCCGAAAGCTCTCAGTTAATCATATTACAACGTTGATTATTTTTCTGCAAAGATTCCCCCGCTGGGTTTCCCTGCACTGCACAGTTTGCCTAGTTTTTCTACACTAGATCATTGTCTCTAGACTTAGACAGATGCAGCGTTTGATCGACAAAGTTGACTGCGACAAAATTGTTTGTAGAGGCTGGAAGCATCCTGGACCTCTGAGGTCGATGAACTGTACAGTCGGTTGGCAGAACTCATGGTGCTTTGCTCAGTGATAACCTTTGTTCAGTGTGTTCAGTGTGTCCAAAATCATCCAAAATCCGTGTTCTCCGACTGCGGTCTTGACATGAGACAATAGGTGGCAGAGTGGTTAGTTAGAAATTGCCGGTGGAACAATACTAGGGTACCAAAATGAGTCGTAACACGCATCGCTTGGCCAGTTCATCATGTTACCGTTGTGTGGCAGGAGGAATCACGAGGGGAGCATTTGTGCAATAGCGCACGGCCATCATGAGTAATAACTGAGTGAGCTGGCTGATAGCACCAGGGTAATTCGAAAGTATATACCACAGAGAGCCGCAGCTACAGCAAATAACCATGGATCACACACGCACACACTGGAAATGACTTGAAATCGCTAGAAACAGACCGCTTGTTGCCAGACTTGCACCCACTGAAAGTCGCCAGACTGATTACAAGAGTAAAAGAGACTGTCAGAGACTGCATGGTTTGTGGAAAATTCCCCAAACAGTGTGGGGACTCTAGAGGTTCTTACGGTAATGGAAAAGCAGCTGATGCTTAGATCGCTGAAGCACGCGGCCGTGTCCGGCTAATTCGTTGCTATTTACAGTACATTCATGCCTCTCGACATCGTCAATGTGCATTTCAACTGCGCAGGCTCGTAAAGTCTGGGTGGCCGCGGCGGGTGCTTCTAGCGACTGCGCTCTCGTTGTGGTGCCGGTGCGCATTTTGGTACATGGTGGTCACTTTGCAAGGGAAACCTCGTGTTTTGGTGCTTCAAAGTCGACTTTTCGTGACAGGTGCAAGGGATCGTAGGTGCTTTACTTCGAACTGCAGTTTTCGTGGCAGGTGCAGCACTTTGGCAGATTTCGTGACAGGTGCAGTGAATCGTGACTTTTGGACATGTGGCTCGTTTGCAGACTTCGTGACAGGCGCAGCACTTTGTGGACCTCGATGTGCAGATGTCGTGACAGGCACAGCACTTTGTGAACCTCGACGCGCAGAGTTCGTGACAGGCCCTCGAAGTGCAGATTTCATGGCAGGCACAGCACTTGCTGAACCTCGAAGTGCAGATTTCGTGGCACACACAGCACTTGGTGAACCTCGAAGTGCAGATTTCATGGCAGGCACAGCACTTGTTGAACCTCGAAGTGCAGATTTCGTGGCAGGCACAGCACCTGGTGAACCTCGAAGTGCAGATTTCGTGGCAGGCACAGCACTTTGTGAACCTCGAAGTGCAGATTTCGTGGCAGGCAAAGCACTTGGTGAACCTCGAAGTGCAGATTTCGTGGCAGGCACAGCGCTTGGTGAACCTCGAAGTGCAGATTTCGCGGCAGAGCGCTTTTGGTGAACCTCGAAGTGCAGATTGCCTGGCAGGCACAGCACTGGGTGCACCTCGAAGTGCAGATTTCGTGGCAGGCGCAGCACTTTGTGAATCTCGAAGTGCAGATTTCGTGGCAAGTACAGCACTTTGTGAACCTCGATGTGAAGATTTCGTAGCAGGCGCAACACTTTGTGCTCTCAGATGCTCACTCTCTCACTTCCTCACTCTCACTCTCACTCACTCACACACGCTCACATCCACACTCACCCGTCACTCACACTCACACTCACTCACACTCACATTCACACTCACACTCACTCTCACTCACACTCGCACTCACACACCCTCACTCACACTCACTCTCACACTCACTCTCACTCTCACTCCACTCACCCACCTTCACTCTCACTCACTCTCACTCTCGCTCACACTCGCCCACCTTCACTCTCACTCACACTCCCTCACACTCTCACTCTCACTCACTCACTCTCATACACACTCTCACACTCACACTCACTCTCACTCTCACTCACTCACCCACTCTTGCTCTCACTCTCACTCACCACTCGCACTCTCACTTTCACTCTCACTCACGCTCACACTCACACTCACTCACTCACTCACCACCATCGCCACCGTCACCACGATCCCCACCTTCATCGCCACCATCACCTCTCTGGACCCCAATGCGTCTAGATCTCTAGACTTTTTGCTTAAAGACCTCACAAACACTGTTTGGGGTCTCTTGCCGGGATAATGGATTAACATTGAGTGTCTTTTTCGGACCCACACATGAAGTTTGTACATGCAGTGCCACTCGCCCATTTGTTGAACCATGCTAGCACTTGACCAATGAAGAAACTGCGAGATTTTACACGGCCTCTCAATACGATCACGTGGACATGCACCGAGAGGTGAAGGCCAAATGTGTAGTGAGTGCATCCTCCTTGCTTATTTTGGATGTGTTCATTTCTTCGTTTGTCGTGAGAGTCGGCTGCGTAACAGATGTCCAAACTTGCGCCGCAGCATTTTTGGGGTCAAAAACATATCTATGTTTAACCATAGTACATGTAGAGGTCCTTAAGACGATAACGACAGTGTCCAATGCAGTTTTAGAGGAGATGTGCTTCTCTATGTATTTTGGAAACGCCTGTTTCATCTTGAGAGGCATCAACGAGCCCTCAGTATAGGCCTCCGGATCCATGGCCTCACCCCCCTCTGCGGAGCCGCCGATCTTGCAGCCCCAATTCTCGTTGGAGCTCTTCACCTCCAGCAAGGATCCACCACAGGTTGATTATGACCATGTGACGAATTCGGAGCTCTTGCAGGCCGTTCATGAATCCCATGTGGTTCTCATAGTGTAAAGACCTAGCTCAATCAAGTGCTTGAATGAGTAAGATCAACTACTATCAGTTCGCGAGAACACTTTGTTGATGGTGTGTTAAGCGCGGATTCCCAGAGGCCATGCACGAGTTGCATTATTCCCTGGCAGACAAAGTGGAGAAACTGAGCAAGAGTGTCTGGTCTGGACATCTGGAACGCGTAAATTAAATTGACAAGTCGTAAAGATCCTGCAGTGGTGTTGGATAATTAGTGAATCTCGTTGTTGCTCATTCCTGGAGTGTAGCGCAAAGAGCTATGACAGCTATGACATCATGGTATGGCGTACAAAAGCCTTTGAGCAGTCAACCAACACACACTTCGATAGAGTTTCATTCCGAACGATAATCCAAAAGGTGGTCCGCTGTGCAAGGCCCTTGACTCTAGAGTTAGGGCATGAAGAGTGAACAGCGAGGTGAAAGTTCAGTATACTTGAAGATGTTTCCACAAGTGCAGTCAGCGGCTTCAGCGGTGACTCAAAAACGACTCGGCGGCTGCAAAACGGGCGGAAGGCTGCGGAGTCATGCACATGAACTACCATGGAATTAAAGAACCGCGAGAAGAGTAGGGTGATGTCACAGTGCAGGTGCGTCAGCAAGCGTCCTTGCTGATATCCTAGGCTTGTACGAGGAGCTTTGTTGCATGGAGCCTCATATGCCTTCTGCATCCCCCTGCTAAAATGGAATCTGAATCGAGTGGGACCCTTTGGTACAGGGTGGGACA